TGGGTTCAAAATTTTTTGCGGGGGAAAATTCAGAAGCCTCTTTTAGGAGATATGATAATATTGCTCCTTGAACTTATGCAATAGCTCACTTTCATATGCTATAAAGGAATAATATTCTATAATATGTTATACTCATTCCTCCCTTGCTGCCTATGAGTTATTTCCAGAGGACCCTTAAAAGACATCCACAGCACTGAAAGCTTTTTCATTACAGCAAGGGCTGGGGTATACAGCTGCTGGTGTGCCCTTGGCAAGGTGTTGGCCGTGCATGGGGGGCCAGGTGGCATCACCCCACCAGCACCAGCCCCGAGCACATGGGACCAGCAGCAATCCCCCCCCCACCAGCACCGCTGGAGCGAGAGGAGCAGTTTGCTCCATCCTGGGGGTTTTGCTGAGACGAGGCGTGGCAAGGAGAGGGCTTCGTTTCCACTCGGTGCCCTCGCACTTTGCAGGAACAAAGGGCAGTAAAACAGAAGCAACTCCTAGTCTGTATAAATGGAGCAAACGTGGCAACAAGACACCATGGGTCAGCACAGCTCAGAGCATCCCCGGGAAAGAAGGAAGGCTCTTTTCTCTCTGCAGTGTACATACAATTTAAGTCCATTATTCTTTCACCTTGGGAAAAGCATGCAGAGCTTTGAAAGCAGAATTACAGAAACAGTCACTGCTGTGCTTCGGCTAACATGCTTTTACGGAAAAGACAGAGTGGAGTTGAATGTACATTAAATGCCTGTTTCCCTTCTGGACATCCCTGAAAAAGAGATGGAAATCTCAGGGTCCTTATTCCTATTATGTTGGGCAAAACTTGACATAAATTAAGCATATAAACGCAGGCCTAAGTGTTTCCAATTCCCTGATTCTGTTGTCTCCCTTAATACTCCGAAGGTAAGAGTGGTTTCTTCTCTCCTCCTCTCTTCTGTATTTTAACCTCCTAATAATTCCCTTGGCATTACAGACTGTATTATCATCACTGACATTAAACATACACTGGCATTACAGTAAACCATTGACGCTAAAGTAATTTCTGTCCTATTCTCCAAAAAAAAAAAGAGAACTGCAAATTTTAGAGAGGTCAGGTTTGTATTTTGCACTGATTCTCTTCCATGAAGATCCAAATAGAGCATTTCAAGCTTAATCAAGGGCTCAGTTTAAAAACACCAGAGTTGTGGAATTCTTACCATGGGTTGCTGTGCTTTTTAAGAACAGTTTTAACATGCCATGTAATAGTCTCTTTTGACTTTCCACAGTATTAGTTCTTCATATAAATTGTTTAAATAATTCATTTAGAACACGTAATGTATGGCATTCTCAAATGTGACCAGTTTATGCTTACTATAATTAACTGTACAGGCTATATAATTATCATTCCCCAGCTCTAGCCAGAGACTCTCATAAAATCACTTATTTTGAAAAACACAGGGAATTTTTTATTCATTTAATTTCCATCATGATTTTCTGATTGGTTCTACAGGTTACTAAATCTCAAGCCACTGTGGTGTCGGGTTGTGACAAGCGTAGACCCAGGAGTGACAATTAGCGTTGATACGCAGCACATCTAAGAAAAGAATTATTCCGCAGGCATTCGCCGCCGCCACGGGACGCACGCTCGAGCCCTCGCCGCGGAGCAAACCTGGGGACGACGCCACGACCGGGGACTGTCAGAGAGCAGGACCGCGGCAGTAAGAAATTGGTAATGCTTTAAATTAAGGTAATAAGGTTCTAATGCTTAGCAGCTAATTTAACAGCATACATTAACCACAGCCTTATTGAATCTTAATTACTTGTGTAGGTGGAAACACTGCCAGCGATTACAGTGTCGAACCAGGGACACTGTTTTTTTCCAGCAGCACGTCAAAGCTGCTCGTAAGGATGAATAACGGCGACTCCAGCCCTCCCCGACAGACGCGGCACGGCCTCGGAGCAGCCGCTTTCTCTGCCTGCTACAACACGCGACGGCAGGATTTGACCCATTCCTGTAAACCTCTATTAACCAGAAACGCACCTCTGTTTGTGCATACAGGCACATTTTAGATAGATGGAAATATTAGCAGATCTTTCTCTGCCAGGGTGAAAAGCAAACGATTGGGATGACCTGCCAGAGGGACGTCCCGCGCTGCAGAGATGTCCCCAAAGGAGGCGGCTCTGCCGGAGCCGCAGCTTTCCCGCGCCACCCATCCGCGACGCTGCAGGACTCACCGTTCCCACCGCGAGAGAAAGCGCTGCAACATCTCTCAGCTGAAATTCAACGTTTTGAGGCTGACATTTACATTAAAAATCTTAAGTGTGAAATACACTCTACAGAACTGAGACACAGAAAAATGGCATTAGCTTCAGAAAAACTACAGAATGAAACTAATGGCAACAATTATCATGGGATCCACAGAAAACTATCAAAATTAACAATATTTGATCTGACTCAAGTTTACAAAGGCTGTCAACTTGATCAAAACTGTGATTTCACAAAATACACCCAACCAAAGCCTGAACAAACTCAGTTAGAATTGAGTATTCGCATAGAAGGCAGTCAGCAATGCAAAGCTGGGTCTCAACCTGAACAGTTTATGTTAGGAAATTCCGTGTTCTGCCTATGTTCATGTTTACTTTTGCAACGTCATGACACATCAGCATTCTCCCCAGAATGATGACATGCATTCATGTAAAATTGAATGCACTCCTATATCCATTAAATAAAATATTAAAAAGTAAAGTCATTAATGTCATTCTGCATAAAATGCATTACAAAATATTCCAGGGGAGCACTTGTTAAACTGTTTTTCACTAAGCAAAAGTGACAGCACAAAACGAAAAATATTTATATGGCATACAGGGAAATTATGAGTGGAGAAGAAAAATTAAACTCAGCTCTGCCACATTTTTCAAGATAGTGCCTGCAACTATGACAATTTACCTTGCTGTGGAAAATACAAAGGCTTTAGATGACAACATCCCTGGGCAGTCATTTTAATTCGGATTTACGGCTGAGGTTGCTTTTTTCTTTTACCTAGGGATTCACAGTGTAATCCCCTTGGACCTTGTTCCCTCATGCCTGTGCATAGCTTGTCCCCCAGGGACGAAAAAGCTCCGGGAAGAAAATTCATGTTCCTATGGTCTATAGGATCCCATCTAATCCACACCAGGTACACAAGCCTGTCCCTGCATCTCCCTCCATCGCTCCATAAAATTCAGGGATTTACCAGCTGGCATCAAAGAGAGCCAACAGAAAGGTGAGAGCAGAGTCTCAGCACCACTGGGAGTGGTTCTGCTCCAGCTGCTCTTGGTGCATTAGTTGACAGGATTTCTTGCTGAACGTTTTAAGTCCCTGAGGAGTGAGGCTCCTGCTCCCTTGATGCATGCTTAGCGTGCTTCCCCACCTTTGGCTCCGCGGCTCCTCCTGTCTGCGCAGGGTCACGGCTACACTGGGGACATGCAGCATCACGCAGCCCCAGGTGAGGCTGGGCAGAACCAGGCACCCCTGGGCTGCAGCGCACCGTCTCAGCCAAAAGAGCTCTGAGCTGCAAAACCATGCACTGGAGGAACTTAAATAATGACCAGCTACAGAGACTGGTCTTCCTAGTTTCATGCTTACGGTCTCTTCTCCTGTCCTGTCACCTCGGCCTCATGCAAAGTCACCATATTCGAGAGATGTGTTACAGTGCCTTGGCATTACTTGCCTTGGCAAGTAATTTGTCATTACACAAAAAGGCACAGCAGTGCAGGTTATAAATACTGACAAGGTAAAGGAGGGTCTATGTGTTAAGCTTTCCATTCAATTTCTTCATTCAAAGGAGTATATATAGGAAAGGAAAGGAACAGAACAGACACTCTGAATCCACTTAACGAAGCCCCGACTTTCAAACACTGCACCAACCTTCAAAGAGAAAGTATTTTGCTATAGGGTTTCGGCTCAGCGCTAGCAATAAGCAGAGTCCATTATTAATTAAATTCTCCAGGAATGTCATTCCAAAGACCTGCCAGTGTCTGTTGCTGGGGCTCTGCCCCTGCAGAGACCTCCTGCTTTAGAGGAGGAACAAAAGAGAGATCAGCAACGAATAATGTCAGACATGAAATAAAACAGGAGAAATGTGACCTGATGGAGCAAAAAAAGCAATTCGCTTTATGCCTGGCACAGTTTGTGGGAAGCTTAAATCTGCCAGACTGGAACCTCGGTGCCTCTGATGTGGCAGCTTCGACGCAGTGTTGCTGAACAGTCACAAGCTGTCAGGCAGGAAGATCCCAAACTTTATGATTTGTTATGATATTCACCAATTTTCGTCTTTTGTGACTCCACTCCAGGGTTGGCTGGGGTGCAATGGCAGCCAGAAGAGGCAGCACTGCAGGACGAAAACACTCAATTTCTTTCTCTTCCTGGATATGTTCCCTTATGAGTCCTGCTGAGGCCTGTTTCTTTTCCTGACTTAACCTATCTGATAGCTGTAAAAAAACACTATATCTCACAGCATAAATCTGGGAGAAGAGCAGCAGGAGATCTGGTGCCGAAATAGAGACAGCTACATCTGGAAGAACCTTCTACTCAAAGTGTTTGGACTGTGAGACCAAGCACTCGCTTGTATCTCAGCTTTAACTTAACACAGACCAGAGAAGTGGTGCTATTATTAAGTTTCTTTTTTTCACTTTTTTTTTTCTTTTCTTTTCTCATTTCGGAAAAGAAAATAAGACTGAAAATTGCAGGATGAGCACTTGATAAGAATCAATGCTTTTTGGTTCCTACAAATATCAGTTGTCCAAAAATATATCCCTATTCTTATTTCTCCAAATGCACATTCATATTTATCAATAAATATTTTATTATAGCCATTATCAGAACATCAAAGGCTGCTGAAATATTGTACTTCAACTGCCACAGCTCATTCCAAGCTTACACAATGCATCAAATCTTAGGCTCCCACAGCAGTCAAACTAGAATTAATATTTAAATCGTGATGGGATAAGCCACCTGGGATAGCATGAAAAGGGAATGAGTTTGTGTTCTTGTGAATACTGAGGTAGCAAAACAAGCACAGAATACAGAAAACGGTTACAATCCCTACCACATCCTGACAAACACCAAAATTGCTAGACCGCTAAAGCAATGGTCAAACACAAGATTTCACTGACCAAAACGTGACAGACTAGCACTGGGTATCTCTGAAATGTCACCATTACCATTTTTCTTGAAGTGATATATACATTTCTATCCACCAAGGTAAAGCTATTTTCTTAGACATAAGGGAGATCTCATTCCATGTCAGTTATCACAGAGATCTGCTTTTTACATCCATAGAGATCTGCGTTAGTCTCACTGCTAAACACATGCAGGAAAGTATCTATTTAACAAGATCTCTGAAAAGGTGGGTTTTCTAGCTGTACAACTGCTCTGGCGGTGAAGGCATGCATCGCAGAGCACCATCAGCAGGCTGCCCTGCTCAAGGACGTCTCCTTGGCTCGCCAAACCCGGCTGCACAGCTCCTCCGTGTCAGAAAGCGCCAGGACCTCCATGAGCTGCAGACGCGGGAGAGATGTGGCACTCTGACCTCTGGAAGAACAGCTTGGAAGTGCCCAACAAGAGGACCAGGGCTCACTTTTTCCTGCGCCTGTGGCATGGCCCAGTTCTGCAGGTCCCTGTCTCCTATGACCTCCACTTTTGAAGGCACATCAGAATCACACTAGATTTATCTGCAAATCCAAACCACGTACGGGAGCTGAAGACCACTGTAAATTTTAAAGCAAGCATGGACTGATAAGTACATAAAGTTCTCCAATTGCAACTCTCCTAGACACAAACTAAATGAATAAAACACTTCACAACTGATTTATTGACAGTCAATGACATCCTCAGCCACTCAAGCCTGGCATAGTTCAAAACATCAAGCACTTCCATGTTATTGTCCCAGGTTATTTTTCCCTGTGTTTGCAACAGAGGATAGTGACTCAGCCATATGAATCATTTATGGCACTGTGACTCATCCTAGGTAGCACATGAAGAATCTGGATAACCATTACAGGTTTATCTGAGATCAAGAAATGCATAGCCTACTGCACAGTCATTAGTATTTAAAGGAAAATTATTTCATTTAGCAAGAAAAAAAACGTTAATGGAACATCTTGCTGGCAAACCAGACGTCCTCTCCTGCATGGTTTTGAAAATCAAACCTGTACTTTTTCCTCAGCCTTTTTCAGTTAAATATACTGTGTGCATACAGGATTATAATTGGGGACCACAGAGAAAACTCTCTCAAAAGGAGAGCCTTACCTCTTCTCCCATAATTACATCTCAATATTAAAAAGGAGAGGTTTTTAGAATTTAATATTAGGCCACATCCTCAGGTGGTATAAATTAGTCCATCTCTGTGAGCACACAGAACTTCACGCCAACGAAGGATCAGAGCCAATCTTTTCTCAGTGCAAAGTGGCTATTACCTCCAGGACAGCCAAAGAGGGATCAGAGATGCCTGCTGGTTTTCCAGACGTGCAATAATGCATAGGGCTGCAGCTCATCTCTAAAGTACGCGCTATGAGAGGAGCTCCCAGGAAAAGTGCAAAGGCCCAAATCAGGGCTGCACTTCAACACAAGTGGCATCCTGGTCTCCCAGGTAGGACACTTCCAGGGGCCCCTTTTGCTAATCGAAATACAACCCGCTTGGGCATTTCCGGATGCTGGGTGGAGGTGGCCAAGCACCGTCGCTGCCGGCGGGCTCAGCAGCCAGGCGCAGGCGAGCACAAGAGCCCTGGACTCCTGGATCCCGGCTCCGCTCCCCCCAGCGTGGCACCGCTCCAGGAAGAGTGGGGGAAAATGCTGTTTAGCGCACCCACAGCAAATACTTGATATTGCTTTCGTGCTGTTGACCCAGGGACGTGGCAATGTTTTACTAGCACTGATTAAATCGTGAAAGACATGGAGTGCCCCTCTGCACCAGCTGTGATGTAGGAAGTGCTCTGCCTACAGCAACAACCCTCTGGTCCTGATTTCCCTGCTGGGCTAAATACTTTGACATGTTTTCCTCTCTCAGCTCACAGGGATAGTCCAACATTTGCTTGAGGACAGAAATATGTGCTAATGGAAGGGATACATTTAGAAGGAGGCAAAAGAAATCCCTAGAAAACAGCTTCTAAATGATGCTGTTAAAACTGCAAAGTGTCACCGTAGAAGGAGAGCTGTTTTTTTTATGGTAACACAAGCGTTCAAAAGCAATAACTGCACCGTGCATTTCCATCCAGCAGCCGGTCAGAGGGACAACTACAGCGGGACACAAGAGTGACCACGGCACGGCCATCAGGTCCCGACGGGAGCCACTGGTGGCTTGCAGCACGCTGCTGCTCAGCGAGCAGCTCTCACCTCGCAGCTCGCCCAGGTCCAGGGTCTTCCCCAGCTGCTCGAGCAGGTCAGCTCGAGCTGCGTTCTTCTTGTGCTTTTTGCCATCATAGTGCTGCTGAGCCATCATGGGGTTATTGAACCAGGCAGCGCAGAGCTGGCAGTACCTGTCCGAGTCCCTCCTCGGATGGGGCGAGGACACCACTGGGGAACCTTCCGCGTGGGGCTGCTTTAGGGAACTCAGAGTGGTTTCTGCAAAAGGAAACAGACAGAAATTAGTTTTTTCCAAGCTGGGTTACTGTCTAAGTAACACCAGCCCCTGAAGCAGATCCCACATTAGACATAAGGAAGAATTAGCAGCAATTACAATGTCTCACTGGGTCTACTGGATGGCACCACTTGGAAATCTACCGTTTCTCATAAAAAGCAGTATGAAAAGAAAGCATAAAACTGTTCCTCAACTATCTGCATTTCCCTGCAGTTACCTGGCTTATCGTTATTATGACTAAACCTGCTAAGGTTCTCTTGCTTAAATTGTTACTTCCATGAAAAATTGCCAGTGACGAATAAACAAAAAATGCAAAGCCATCTACTTCTCAAGATAGGGAGACAGATTTATAATTATCTCAAGATTCTTATTTTTCAATTTATTTGATCTCAGAAAGAACAGACAAAGCTATAATTTTAAATTGTCACAGATGCCAAAGATATTCAGTAGCCAGTCTCCTCATTTAAATATCTTCACATTATGAAATGACAGGTGCTAGCAACACACAACCTGTGTGATTCTGTGATTCTGTGACCTTCTTTTAGCTCCATTTCCCACCAGATTCGCTACATGGTTCTCTGAGAACACAAACCTGATCCAAATAATTTCAAAAGAAAAATAGGTGATTAGTCCTTACGCAATGCAGCAGCATCTTGTTTGCCACAGTTTTTCTATCTTGTACAATATAAATGACAAAGCCATGAAAAAACAGTTTAAAATAAAACAAAGTTTAGATAACATTGGTATATAAAAATACACAGTGACTAGCACGCAATTATCACACCTCATTCAAATATTCCTTTTTATGTGGTTTTCCTTTTTTTAGATGAAACGTCTGCTGTCTAAATAATTAACAAACTGTACTTGCTTCATGATACAAGAATAGGGCAGTTTTAAGGTTCTGAAAGGGAGCTTGAACGTCCCTCGTTTGATCAAGAGGCTCCTTGCTCTTCCAGCCGAGCCCTAACGAGAGCGCCTTGACCCTGATGCGTGACGGAACGACTTCGCTACCTGACTCCATCAGCGAGCAACACCAGGATCCCTTTGGACATATAATCATGACCCAGACCCACCACGGCTGTCTCCATGGCTCAGGAGAATTAATATTGTTACAAATCATCTACTGACCTGCAGAGAACGGATGTCTATTAACTTTCCTCCAGGAAATTGTATCTTACATATAATGTTACTTATAACCTTATCCATTTTCAGGCTTTTATAAGCTGCTATTGTTTTTGATGACAACTGCCAAGGTATCAGATTTTCACTGTCTGAATTATTGTTGGTTCTGAAACACCATCGCTCTCCTTCCTAGGTCTTCTGCAGAGAAACGCCTGGGGAAGAATTTTCTGAGAAGTTTTCCCATTTCTGCTGACATGACCTGCACTCAGCAGCATTAACAAAATGACCTCTTTTGGACGTTAGCTAATAAAGGGATTACAGAACTGATTTCTGCTGAAGATACTTGTTCTCCTCATTGTCTTGTCTAGCAAATCGTCCACTTGTTCGGTTTGGATTTACTTCCCCCCACAAGAGGAGTCCCTGCCTTGCTGCTACGTGACTGGCCTCATTAGAGATGAAGTATAACGCCAACAAATAAAACCTTTTTTCCTTTTCCTTTGCCCCTGGAAGGCTGCTCACTTTCTGCCGGGGGACCGCAGGGCCGGGTGTGGGTGAGCCTGGCTCCGTGCGCAGCTCCCACGGCACGGGCGGTGGGAGCAGCGCCCTGGCCTCCGTCCCTGAACGAGCTGGCATGCAGCAACCAGGGCTCGGGAAGGACCGAACTATAGTTTGCTCCTAAAAATAACATGTTTGATAATACCTAAAGACAATGCCTTGTTCTCAGCCTCACACGGCAGCAGCACAGACGCACCCCCAGCCCCTCTGAAGGTGCACCCAGCACAGATAACACAAGTTCCTGAAGGGCAGAGCACCAGGACAAAGCATGGCAATTAAGAAGAAAAATCAGGAAATATTAATATTGCCGGTCCAAATTAAGACTATTGCAGACTGCGTGCAGCTGACTCACGAAAAGCAAGTTTAGCTTTCCTTGCCTGCTTCTGTGACTACCAGCAGAGACTGCCCAAGAAGCCTCCCTGCAGGACAGGATATCCTCAGTGCTCAGGTCCGTCCGGCAGCGTCGCTCCAAAGGCACGTTTCAGCCCTCCCCGTGGCTCCACCTCTGTGCACTTTTAAGGGCTTTTGCTGCCTGCTTTATTTACAGGAGTGCACAGCCTGCGCTTGCTTTAGCCACCAGAGCTATAGCCTGCACTCTTACCAGAAAAACCCTTTTCTACTCCTACCTCTACCTTTGGCTACAAGGAGTGGCTGCAACTGTGGAGACATCTGGGCATCTGGTGCCTTATAAACAGTTATAGGAAAGTGGTCATCAGAGGGACTTGCAGTTATCATTCGTAATACTACATCTTATTTTCTCGTAAAGCCACACACCTCAGATTTGCTTTACAGCTACAACCAGTCCTAAGGCATGCAGAACCCAATCTGACCATTAATGAAAACATCCAACATCTTCCAAATCCTCCTGAAGAGAAATAGATGAAAGTTGACTTCTCTACAAATGTGGATTCATCTTTTTGATATGCACTCCATAACTACTACAGCACAGGAAAAATTGTCATTCCCTCAGCAGCAAGAAGAAGATTAATAATAAACACTCACAAAACATCAAATGTTAAAAATGTGCTTCTCCATCCTAAAACACAAACATAAAAGCTACAAGTTTGACTATTTCAACTATTTCAAAATGCTAAGTAGCTCATGACAGTCTGCCTTATATTCCCTTTGCTGTGGGAGGGAAGTGAGAAAGTCTTACTTTACTGCAAGAAGCAAAATGTAAAGTTAGAAACACTTTAGCACTCTGGCAAAGAACTAATGTTTGACTTGTTTCTTGCATGCAAAGCTTTTTATTCATAGCCACATTTAAACGGCACCCAACTTTTTATAATTGTCATCCTCCAGGAACTCGGCATGAGAGTGAGAAAGTAACTGAATCATGACAAAGTGGCATTGAAGAAATACTGTTTTCTTCAAAAGACAAATCTGGGGATAAGACAGACCCTAACTGTTGGCTGGACTGATCATTGCAACCAAAACCGAAAGCGATTTATTCTATCGCTTTCAGCACGTCTGACACTGAAGTCCCACAGCAGGAATCAGAGAACAAGGAGAGAGAACAGCCAAGTTAGCTTCCTGTTGGCAAAAGCATGCTCCTTTCCCATGCCCAGAATACAGGGGACTCCGACGCTGGCACTTCCCGCTCCATCCTATCCATCACCCAGAGACACGACACACATTAACCATTAGCCCTGGAGCCATGGCGCTTCCTGAAAAGATGATTCATAATCGACCGTGCAGTACTCCTGGTGCCGAAGTGCTAATTTCCACCTGGAAGCCTGCAGGTACCTGCACTTTGATAAATGAAGGTAGCAGCTATTATTTTCCCACAATGCTTTGTTTTATAACTCACGCTGATGACTGGATGCAAGCTGACCGAAGATGTTGGAAACGACTGGTGAAATTCATCAGAAATAGCGGTGGCAAAGCCTCTGAGGGCTACAACCTTGTACAGCAGAAGCAAGAGAAAAACAGCACAAATATTTCACTACAGTGACAAGACATCACTTTCCTATTGTGAAAACCTCATTGTCAAGTCACTCCTCCCTCTTCTAAAAGCACCAACAGAGAAATTAAAGATCAGTATTTCATTAAGATGGTAAAATAGAAAGGAAAGTTGTAACTCCTTAAAAATTTGAAAATAGACCTAATTTTCTAGGGGATTGATAAGACAGAAAAAAACAGAATATTAAGCAGCAGTTTGCTCACAGGCAGAACGCAGCCGTCAGTGTGTGCAGAAGGCATCTGCAAAACAGACCTGCAATCTTCCCGAAGCCAGGGAAGCGAATACTCCAGTCTAAGACGATCAGAAAGTGCGTCCAGATTATCTGATAGGAATATGAGGGTAATTCTTCCCTGAGCACTGAACTGCTGCTGCATTGGATATAATACTGATTAATGCTTTGCACTGCATGATCTTGGTAGAGCATATGTTACTCAAAGTTTGGAATTTATGTAACTTCCATGCTCATGATGGAGAAGTCCCTGTTCTTTACTAATTCAGAGTTGAGGAAAATATTTCACCTGGGATAGATGCGCATGCAGGATGGCACCGCAGGGCCCTGTGTTTTGAGAGGAGCTGCTCTGCCGAGGTGAAGCCTCGGAAAATTTCTGGCCACCTGCAGTCGCCCAAGGTCCCAGAGCTGTAATCTTGACAGCACAGAGGATTTCGGAGTCTGCGCTGCCGCCTGCCTCCAGGAACTGTGACTGGGAACAGAATTCCAGTTGCAGACATTTTTCAAATTTTTCACTTTCAGTGAAAGTATTACGTACTTTTCTATGCGTTTTTTACTGGAAAACCCTGCTGCTCTTCGAAGGGCTCCAGAATTCTCTCCGAATTTCCCCTGCAGTTTCAACTGCATTCATTAGTCTTCGTTTTGTCCCCTAAATTCATTTTGTTACTGTGTACTGTGTGGAGGGAGATGCTACCCTCCACATATGTGACTGTATGTCTGTGGTGAATGAAATAACTTCTGGAAAGACGATTGTACGAAGAATTTCACAAATTCTTTCCTCCCTTCACAAACAGACCCACTATTTAAAAGCAAATGCTCAATACAGAATTTTACAACAGTTTAGGGTAGCAGAGTAAAGACGTGTAAAACTGCAAACCAGACATCGCAATCTGCAGATTAATACTTATTTTTACTTTCCTATTGCCTCTAAAACATTTTTAGACTAACTGTACATGTTTAATCTCAGCCAAAATAAAAGCATTTGGAGAAAGTTCAAAACATTTTAAGCCTTTTTGAATTAAAAGACTATGAGAGCGTAAATGTTTGTGGAGATTTTACTTTCTCACTGCTTTTGATCTCACGTACAAGGTAAAAATTGCTTTACTTTTAAGAGC